ATATTACAACGAAATTTTAAAAAATTAAGTAAATTTTGACGCACTAATTGCTCAATCAATTGTAATAAATTTGCTATATAGATAACATCTAGGATGCAGAAGAATTATTATTGAATTCGATTTAGTTTATAAAAGAAACCAAGTTATCAGAGCTATTTTTTTTTATGTTAATCCTTTAACGGAAAGGCAAAGAGAACTGCGCCCATACAGCCATGTCTGCATGTTTTTGATGTTCCTAATTTTGTTAGTTTATTGTTTATGACTTGAATTTCTGAACAGTGCAAATGGAACATTCCCCGAAATCCACCACAGTGAAGAGCGTAGACCGCGCTTCCGCCATCTTTGTTTTCTTCTATCGTTATTAGAGTAAGTTTTTCCCGGCATTTTAGTATGTTGTGAAATGACGTCATAATTACATAAGAATTATATAATTATGTAAATTTATGATTGTGTATTTTATTGATTACGTCGTAGTTTGAATGTAAAAGATGTTTTTATCTCAACTTTATAACCGTTGGTTATCATTATTATATTTTGCCTACTTACATAGATATGTCGCTTATCTGTATAGTATATATGTAAATCTATCGAAGAGTGATTGGTATCATGTTATCATTTCTTTTTATGGAAAAAATTGATATTTCGCACGTGCCTACGTCATTTGTTTTCATACGTAGAATTAAAAAATCAGTAATAAATGAATTTGTGAGTTGTAATACATCGTTTCAAATTCTGGATTTTTTTTATAAACTAACAAATCAAGATCATTAGTGGGTGTAAATCTTTCTTACTATTTTATTTATTTATACAAAAACCATCAACTAGTAATTCGATACTTGTTTTTTCGAATTATTCTACAAAAATATCGTTGGCTTTAACCTGCTTTTCGAATGACACAGTTTATCCCAAGACGCTATCATCCAAATATCAATCATCTGTATAAATAAACAGAGTCTAAATTCCATTAATGTGTATCTAGAAGTCTAGAACTGAAAATTTGTACCTATCGCGGTATTTGTAACAAAATTTTATGATATTGAGGCTTATTACCAAGCCAGAAAGTCTTTTTTCCATGTTCTTATGTTCTGAATGTTTTAACAATAGTAAAAGGTAACAGGTTGTGTGGAATAAACATCGTCTTACAATGAAGATACGTGCGGTTCGACAAGTTCACAAAAAGTATATATATAGTATTATTTGAACATTCCCAATTGATTCATTCTAGAGAAGAATAATGAAGAAGATGAAGACCGGACAGGCACAGCACGTCATGGCTAAATAACGTAAGGCAGTGGTTCGCGATTAGCACTAGATCCTTGTTCAGAACAGCGGTGGATAAAATTAAGATCGCCAACCTCCAGTAGGAGACGGCACATAACAAAGAAGACGAGAAGAAGTACTTCTACTAAAATAAATAAAATTGAAAGTACTTCTAATTATCCACACAAATAAATAAAATAGATCTGTCTGTTTGTAATGTCAAATTAACAGATGTTCGCTAAAAGCGAGAAAATGAATGTTAATGTCTAAAACGGCTGCACCGATTTTTATGCGGACTTTTACATACAGATAGCTAATATTGTAAGGAGTAAGTTAGGCTATTTTTATTTATTTTAATCCAAGCGATCGAAATTGCGGGTAGTAGTTATTTTATTGATTGTTTGTCTTTCCACTTATAATAAAACTAAAAATGATTTTTGGGAACAATCCAACATCTTCTCAATTTTTGTCTGTTAATGGACCAGAATTAGCTTCCGTGAACGAAACCGTAATAGTAATTCTTTAGAAATATATCTAGAACAGATGTCAGTTGATGTCAAGAGATGACTTCTAACAAAAATTATAAAAATAAATAACCCTGGACAGTTAACATGGCGCCATCTAGTCCCGCGGTAAGCAGAGCTTGTGTTATAAGTACTAATAACCGATATAAATACTTAGATTTTTTTTGTAAATATTTACATAATTTATATAGTAAACATCCAGATAGATACAAACAATCTTCCTCATTAATGTAAATGTTTGCACCGTCGAGGAATTGAACTCGCGACTATCGGTGTGCTAAACCGATAGACCACAAAGGCCGTCAAAATACATAACAATAATATTTTTGGCCAATTCATACAGAGATATGATTTTTAAATTTTATATATGTACTCTACATATATAAAATTTAAAATATAACCAAACCCAATAACTTCATACAGATTTTTTTCTAGCATTTATAACCGTGTTAGTAAAAGAAGGTTTCGTGACTCACGTTGCGCTGCAAATGTTTATGACACAACAAAGATTTTTGTGTCCTGAATATTTTTAATTTTAGACCTAACGAACGAGTAAATTCTCTGTTACCTACTTAATCTGGCAAAATTAGGCCTCTGCTTAACAGCAATCTGTAGAATTTGTCAAACTGAACAGGAAACGCCACTACACATCCTATATGGTTCTAGCCCACTCATGCATAAACGAAATATCTCTTTTGGAAAGTATACACTATATCCTGAGGAGATAAAAACCATCGCTCCTAAGGGTATCCTTCAATTCTTGTCCCTGACGCGTCTAGATAGCGAACTTTGAGAAAGAGCGAGCACAATAAATCTATGTAGGTGCAGTGCTATAGGTCTTAGTACCTGACAATAGCCCAAAATCCTCAATAAAACAAAATAGTCTACCATCATTGCCCTCTTAATATTCTGGGGGGACGGGGATTGTTAGTAATATGGACTCATGATCCTATTACTAGCAATATACCATATCAGGGAGGTCAACCTGACCTGACACAGTTCCCTCCGGAAACCATCTCCACTGGTGCCCCGCCAGTGTAAACCGTTAGCGCAGGTGGGTGCATCATTACCGTGCATAAAAAATACTCATTAAGTTTTGGTACAGTATGCTTACGAAAATCTTTTGTTCTTGTTTTAATCTTGTAATAACTACAACTGGTCACACTGATAAGAAATGTAAACCAACAAAGTGCAATTCATGTATTAGACGACAGAGGTTTAGCAGTTTAGTACACCGCATTACTTCTAATGGTCGCGGATTCAATTATCATACAATACAAACCTTTAGTCATGAATATGATTGTTTGTGTTGGTTTGGGTGTTATTTGTATGTACCGAAAAGTAAATTTAAGTGTTTGTATTAGTTATTTGGAATCCATTGCATTATATCTGCTTAGTTTGAGACTAGATGGCGCTGTTTAAACTATTATTATACTACTGTTAACTTATATATGCGACGGAAACGACAAGAGGTCAAATGTATCGCTTTGTCGCCGCGTTTCTTGTAATCAGCGAGTTAAACCGGTGTTAAGGTATATACTTTCTATAAATATGAACTTTCTCTTTAATTGTTTTAATTTCGTGTCATAAAAAAAGTCACTTGGTAAAGTTTGATGAAATTTGAAAAAAATCACTCAAAGGGGATTCAAATCTATTCAGAAACTACTACAATATTATAAAATACCAGCTGACGCGCACAACGTCGTCTACATGACACTAATTATATTTCGCCCGATTTACGTAATATCCTTTTAATTTATAGCCTGTATGTTATTTTAATACATAAGCTATATTACTGCAAAGTTTCATCAAAATTCGTTTTGTACTTTTTGCGTGAAAGAGTAACAAACATCTATCCATACTCGGAAACTTTTTCGTTTATAATTAATTAAAGATTACTGTAGTTAGTAATAATCACAACGGAACCCTCCAAAGGGACCTTATAGTTCAATTACTTGTTTAACACTAAGGTACTATGTAAAAGAAATAATAATTTATACAATTCTATATAATAGTAATTATAATTTCTTTTTAAGTTTTACTAAACCAACCTTTAAAGGCTTGGTAGATTAATTTAGCCTCTCAAAGACTTTCTAATCTATTTTACTTTGATTGAACAATTAGTTCTCTTAATAGTTAGCTATTAACGTGAATTCATTAAGTTCCGACGTACATTCGTGCGATAAATGCAGTTTTTCGCACTCGATTGCAATGTTTTAATTACTTTTTTTCTAGTTACGCCCGCAATTTTGTGCGCTCGGTATTCCGAATTATAAAAGCTTATAACTTTTTGTTCCTACAATGACTGGCTGGAAACAGAAACTATGTAAATATTACGGAAGCTTTATTTGGTACATTGATTTAAGAATAAAAAGTGTAATCTATCACATTCAAAATAAGTATTCATAAACCGCCGGAGCCAAAAGAAGAGAAAAAAAAAGTATTCCTGTTGCTAAGTAACAGTTGATATGTAATGTGCAACTGTATTTAGAGCGAGATTAAATTATATTTTCTGCTATAATGTACTGAATATCTCCATCAAGCTTGCTATTATACATCAGTGAAAACCAAAGTAGAATAGGTTAAGCCGTATCTTAGAATAGCGCGTGTAACGCATAGACAAATATTCTAAAAACATTTTTTTTTCTGGTACAATGTGCACAGGTTTTTTTTATTACTCAATATACGGACATGGCGCTTTCTAAATTTTATTATATATATGCTTTGCTATGTATTAGTTTGTGGTTTAATGATAATTAGAAAGAGATTGTGGTTGATTCTGAGGTCAGCTGATAGATCGTATAGTACAGATAACGTCAATTATTACTTGCGGATTTATTTAGACTTCAAGCCAATTCTATTTGCAACATTATAGTCAGTGCATTTTAACGCTCTAAATATTTGAAATAGAATATTTTCAATGATTTTTCATACATAATCTTCAATGGAAACTTTGACTCACAATTAGTTACTCAAAAGAAAGAATTAATCAAATAAATACAATTCTTCTAAGGTACATTCGTCAAATATTTTTTTTTTAAATAAAATAGACTATTAACTGTGAGAACAGATGAACTTATGTCTTTCAGTTGAAGGGTCAGTTATTATAAGACTAGTTACAAAGGCATGACATCGTAGACCTTCAGAACTACAATATGGCAACTCATGAGGGATATCACAGGTTATTTTACATGAATATAAAAAAAAATTACTCACGTAAACGCCTTAGTCTCCTGCACTTTCGTCGAGTACTGCTTGAACACATCGTATGCAATTTTTGTGTACTGCGTGGATACCGCCAGCAGGTCTGGCTGGTACTCCACTTCCTTCTGCTTCTCCAGATTGGTGGGGTCCGTCACAATGTTGTGTTTGTTCTTGAAACGCTCCAGGATGCTGACGGTCTGCCGTTTGGGTGTTGGCGTCTTCACGCACGTTACGTCATGTGTACATATGTTGCACATTGTTATTTTGGTTACGCTACCGGTCGGAGCACGATGTCGATTGTGCGGGTTGGCTCCGCGATCAGAAATATAAGTCGAGCAAATCTTATCCCCACCAGTGCCGTAAGCAGCGCGTGCGCACGTTGACGCCTGCCGTTGATAAGATTCGTTGAAAAATCACTGATTGGTTTTGGTCACTTATTTATCGTTTGGCTTGTCTATTCTAATTGAGGAAGAGTTTGTGTAAAGTCGTCTTTATCACTTTCAATTATTATTAAATTAAATAAAATTAATTAAAAAAAATATAAAAAATTGACCGATTCATTTCTAAACATTTCTATCGCCAAACAATTTTTTTATTAATAATGATGGATGGTTGCATCCGCCTGCACTTTTTTATAGCATAGGAGACAAACCAGCTTGCGGCTTACCTAATTTTTTTTAACTATTACATCTGTGTGTACGAGAAAGTGGAGTCAAAGTTGTTATTTTTCGGACTCTTCTAATGCTGTTGGCCGCAGCTGGCCTTTACAGCTTCACCGGACGATAAGTCAAAGTTGTCGCGAAGGGGATACAATGTAGTGGTGAATATAAGATTAGGGGGGGAGAGGGGCTGCAAGTAATGTGAACTAATTACTCCATCGCTCGCAATGTACGATTGTTTACTTGTTTGCCACCATCGATGTATAAAAATATATGGTTTCCAGGAATGACCTGTCTCTGGCTCTGTCTATACCTATCTCTGCCCTATTTTAGCCGGCAAATATCTTCATATTGTTGCTTGTATTTTGTTTTTTTTTATAACGGATAAAGTTGTAATGGTGCACCAGGCGTACCGAATTTCCTAAGGATTAAATGCTATGATTTCCATGGAGAATCGCGTCGAGGAGAACCTTACTTGGTACATGGGTGGAGCAGAGCAACTAGTCCCCATTAATGGAAGTAAGAGAATAGTTAGTTATGTGGATTGTTGCTATCAATGTATCATACCACGCGGTTTGCCCTGGAAATCATCGTGATAAATTCCACGTGAATTTGACATGTTCATCTTATCATCCTCAACTGGTGCCCCGGCAACTAAACCGTTAGGGCAGGTGCACCATTCGATTATCATACTAGCGACCAGTCCCAACTTCGCACGAATGTATTACAAATCTTTGAATTTCTCGCCTTGTTTCATTCTATAACCCGCATTTATACATATAAACCTTCCTCTTAAATCACTCTATCTATTGGTGAAAACTGTATTAAAATCCGTTGCGAAATTTAAAAGATATAAGTGTCTAAATGTATAAATTTAAAAGATATAAGTCAGCGGTTGTGAATTTATTTTTACTATGTAAAGATAAAAAGGCCACATTACTAACAATGTTTTTTCCAAAGGCATTTGAAATAGAAATAGAAATAATCTTTATTCAAATAAACTCAATACAAGCACTTTTGAACACTCATATTTTTTATTCTACCACTCATTCGGAACGCAGATTCATCACAAAAAGAATGAGCAAGAAACTTGTGTGTTGCTTGATTGAATAGATGTTTTTTTTATATAAAAATTACACAATAACAAGTAAGAGAGCATAATCATTTCGATATTGATAGAACAGCAAGTTAGCCCTACGAATGGGAACGTATGGGTACCATGATTGGTAGGGAATGATGTCCATGACGCGCTACTGAGCTGTTGACTGCTCAAGCAGGCCGACTTCCTCATTATATTGTCATTAATCTCTTTTAAAATCAGTAAGGGAATACTGAGTCAGAATATTATCTGTACAAGTTCCTAGGAATATTATCGCCAGATAAGATTCACGTACCGGCGCTGTGAACCCCTTAAACCGAAGTATCTTATAAAGACAAAGTACATTTTAACAGTTCAGTTTTTTATAGCATAGAAGATAAGCATGCGGCTCACCTGGTAGGGGATTGCTGCCGCCCATGAGCACCCGCAAAATCAGGAGAATTGGAAGTTCATTGTCGGCCTATTAAGAGGGATTATACTCTTTTCTTGAAGGTTTCAATATCGTACTGGTTCGGAAATACCATTGCTGGAATATGATTTTAGAATGTGGTTGTGTGTAGCAAAAGGTTTCTGGAAAATTTCAGTTATCTTATGCTTGTCATTTCTTATTTTTAACGAAATGAAAATATATACTTTTTTTATTTATTTATTGTAGAATATAATATTACATTTTAAGCTACAATTACATTATAGTTTATGTCTCGGTGTATATTTTACATATTCTTTTACACATAAAAGTAAACCACATCAAATAATAATAGCATATTCACTAAATTATTTTTTCGTCGATCAATATCTTATTGCGGTTTCTAATTTGACCCTATGACGTCAAAGATATCTCTTCTGTCTGTGACGCAAGTACTGGGAAGCCCTAACTTTAAAATGTCTACGGGTTTCTGGGGAAATCCTGATTCAATTTGTGGATACGATATGTGACGGTATGCACGATTTTATATTATTTGAATTGAAACCAAAACCTTTCCTTGTATTTAATTATTAATTAATAGTCTTAGGACAATATACACAGCGTCATCTGGACCCAAGTTAAGCTAGCTATAGCTTGTGTCATGTGTACTAGATAACTGATACAAATATATAGATTATTTTTTTTCGTAAATACTTCATCTACACTCTTAAATTCAGATTCAAATTCAAATTAAAAAATCATTTATTCATGTAGGACATATTAGCCGCTTACGAACGTAATTATTTTTACATTATAATTTTATTTTTTTCCCTACCGTTAGATTTCTTACTACCTTAGATTTTTGTTCCGGTTTTCGAGAAGGCCAAGTATTCGAAATCAAGACTTTTGGGATCTAACTTGGTGTTGTATTACACTGGCTACGATGCTGTGAAGTACACATTTTGTGCGATTTCTTCTAAAAAATTTAACCCATTTTTTACCGTTACTTCATTAGAGCTGTGTAATGTAGTGATTTGCCGCAATAATCGTATAGAAACCAAACGGTACGATGGCAAACGGTTGCGTTGGAAGATTACACCGTTTATGTACGTGCTCCGGTCGTAAACATCGTTTAATTGTTGTACGACATCAAATATTGATGGAAACGTCATGTGTGATGCTGAATGTTTATACACTAGATATAGTATACCCACAGAGCAAATAAACATTACGATTAAAGATAAACTGCCTTTATTCAATTCCAGAAGACTAAGATGTTATGGCTCTTCTCCTGTGATTTCATTAAGGAAGGCAGGCCTGTTTTCGAGGAAGAAACCTTCAAAATGATTATTAGATGCTTGTAAATGCTTAAAATAGTGGTTGCTTAGTTAGGTCTACAAGGAATATTTGGTCCTGAGTGAGGTCGATTAGGTCAATGCCTAATCGATTCAATAATCGAGAACGCCGTGGTTCAGTGTTACAACAGCCCGACTCATAATAATTATGACTGATTTATTTTGTTACTTAAGCAAATATTCATTTATATCAACTTTGCTATTTGGAAGTTTGTATTCACACAAAATTCTTAAAAATGTAAATCGGAACATCATTTATTTAAAAGAGCAACACCCGAGTTTCCTGCTCATTCTTCTTATGATGAGACTGTATTCCGATTGAGTTTCTATTAAGTTTATTTGAATAAAGATTATTTCTATTTCATGGACACTAAATATCATCAATTCATACCAAACGCCAGGTCGCCTGCAAAAACTTTCTGTGTTCATGTACTATATTTTTACTCGTCTTAGGTGATAGAAAGGTCGATATGAAATCATAATCAGACGGCTATAGGTGATTCCAAATTGACGTTATGTACTCGTAATATTCAACATTATTTATTTAATTAGTAATGATCTCCTTTTAGGAGCTGCTAGAAAAAAATAGACGTACTTGGGTATTTCTCAATTCGTTGCTAATGATTTAACCTCGTGTATCTTACAACTTATATCAGTCGGGTTACCTTCTACTAAGCACGTAGGCATAGCTTATACTAAACTTAGCGCCGCCTTATCACTAAGCAATGCAGTTATCATTAAATGTCAACTGACCTAATTGTCTATTTTAATTTCTAGTGCGTGACTAGTGCCTAGTATTATACAACAATATGAATTTTACATTGGTAGTCTAGCGATAGTCGCGAGTTTGATTCCTCGCCGTATAACGTTTGTATTCGTGAATCTGATTGTTTGTATCAGTTTGGGTGTTTGCTATGTATATTATGTATGTATTTCCAAAATATGTATCTATGTATTTGTATTATTTATCTAGTACCAAAAAGATAAGCTCTGCTTTGCTTGGGACTAGATGGCGCTGTGTGAATTGTTCAGAGGAATTATTATTACAAAAACAAATGTATCTTAATATATATATCAGTTTTTTTTATTAATAATACCTATTCCCGGATATTAAATTCTAGGCTTAAAATTATTTATATCAGTTGTCTAGTACCCATAACACAAGCTCTCTACGTGAACTGTTATATATAGATGAGAAAAAAATAAAAGAAGTGCTAATAAAGGCAATACGAATCAGACTTGACTAATCGTCAACATACCTCGTTTGTTATACCAACACGCTCATAATTATGTGAGAGCTTTATTTTCATTGTGAAATCTGAATGTCCCGCGTGATCGCTCACATGACCGGCGGGAAACCATATAGTATACTACAAAAAACTGTTACTACAGTTCTAAATTTATATCTCCTAGTGGATTTGGCGTAGCGATTTTATGTTTCTCTTTTGGATATTTCATAGCACGTGATGTTTTCGTATTTTTGTGACTAATAGCGTTAAGGGCAAGTATTTATGCGCTCTATTTATGGTATGGATAACAGGGAGTCTTTACGAGAGTGGTTTTAGGAATCAAACAAATATCCTCACCGGTGCTTGTCGAAGTCAATACATTTACGAAAATATCACATATGCCAGGAAAAATATAGACAAAAGAGTTAGTGATTACACTAATAAAAGTTTACATAATAATAACAAACTGATTTTACCTAAATTTATACCTTAACCCGTTTAACTAAAGTTAGTAATTCATTTTATGGCAATTGCATAAGGT